TGAGATTAAGAGAGAGAAAAAGGGGGAGAGGAGAGAAGAAAGAAAGAAATCTTGACTCAGAAACAAAAGAAAAAGAAGAAATTTTGACTGAGAAACAGAAGGAAAAAGAAAGGGATAGTGGGTCAGATAGAGAAAGAGAAAAAGAATGGAAGATAGAGATAGATAAGAGGGTGAAAGAGGGGGGAAGAAAGTAAAACAGAGAGTTAGAGACTGAGGAAGAGAGCAAAATAAAGTCTGAGAGAGAGAGAGAGAGAGCAAAATAGAGAGTTTGAAATTAAGAGAGAGAAAAAGGGGGAGAGAAGAGAAGAAAGAAAGAAATCTTGACTCAGAAACAAAAGAAAAAGAAGAAATTTTGACTCAGAAACAGAAGGAAAAAGAAAGGGATAGTGGAACAGATAGAGAAAGAAAAAAAGAATGGAAGATAGAGATAGATAAGAAGATGAGAGAGGGGGGAAGAAAGTAAAACAGAGAGTTAGAGACTGAGGAAGAGAGCAAAATAAAGTCTGAGAAAGAGAGCAAAATAGAGAGTTTGAGATTAAGAGAAAGAAGAGAAGAAAGAAAGAAATCTTGACTCAGAAACAAAAGAAAAAGAAGAAATTTTGACTGAGAAACAGAAGGAAAAAGAAAGGGATAGTGGGTCAGATAGAGAAAGAGAAAAAGAATGGAAGATAGAGATAGATAAGAGGGTGAGAGAGGGGGAAGAAAGTAAAACAGAGAGTTAGAGACTGAGGGAGAGAGCAAAATAAAGAGTTAGAGTCTGAGAGAGAGAGCAAAATAGAGAGTTTGAGATTGAGAGAGAGAGAGAAAGAGAGAGAGAGAGGAATTTAGCAGAGCACGTTTCACAGGTACCGCACGCTGCCGAGCAATTTACTTTTTCCGACACGGCTGCTAGCCGTCTGCCGGGACCTGTCAGGACCTGTCGGAACCTGCCAGCATCTGTACCTACGCGACACTATCCGCGGAAAAATTACGCTGTTCCCTCGTCCTCGCTTGCGGATCGCGAACTATGCTAGAGAAATACGTGATCTCGGCCCGGTCGCACGGTTATTTAACACCGTGACTCCTCGGTTGCTGCTTCTGACCTGACTGCTACCCTTTCTACATGCCACCGCTTTTCCTGAATTTTTTTAACTACGCTGCGTTCATCTAAGCCCTCTCTCTCTCTCTCTCTCTCTCTCTCTCTCTCTCTCTCTCTCTACTTGACGGAAAGGTCTTTAGAACTATTATAGTTATCCTCGTCGAGGATTTTAAACAGAATTGAAAGACGAACAAGGGATAGTTCACTAAGAATACTGATTATAGCCCCCTTCCTTCTTTACTTAAATTATTTTAACATTTCTGATGTAAATAATAAAACTTTGAATTAATTAGACCATGTTGAGATAAGTGGAAACTAATCAAGGTGATTACATTTGGAACTCTGTGAAGTATTAGTATATGGATGTACAATACTCTGGCTTTGCTTAAAAGGTAAAAGGCATGTGGTAGTTTGAATATTTAAAAATATCCTGAAAAGTGAAACGTTGGTGGATAAGGCATTTTGACTAAGAACGGTAAAATAGTGTTTCAAATATTTTTGAGACTTTTGTACTGTTTGATGCTAGGGTTTTTAAGGGTTTGTTGCTCGCAGCAGAAATTTTTGAAGTTATCTATACGGTAATGTCTCTCTAATTGACGCCCAGATTGACCACAAAAATGGACAATATGGGAAGAGGAGATACGATTATTCGAGCCTTGCGGTTTATTTTTATCGTTATAAATTGTCCACAATTATAAAAACGAGCCGCAAGGCTCGAATAATCGTATCTCCTCTTCCCAAATTATCCAATTTAGTGGACAATCCGAGCGTCAGTAAGGGAGACATTACTGCATATTGTTGCTTTTGGGAAATTTGGAATCGCAGAGAATTGTGTGGTATATTGTGGCACCTAGTATTTTGTACATTGTTTCTGTACCAAAGAATTTATAGTTTGCAAAAGTTATTGTAAATCATAGACCTCTCTCCTAGATGTTCTTTTCTGTTCAGTTTCACTTATCTACATTTTTAGAAAATCACAAAGTAGTCGAAAGTGTGCGATGTTTTTATGAAGACCTTTATTTTGAACAGTTCTAAGATTCATTTACTAAATAATTGACAGATCTTAAATAGAATATCTCACATTTTTTAATACAATATCTCTAGTCTAAAAACATAGTTTGTCAATCTTAGAAAGTTTAATTGAGAGCAAAGAAAACACTACTATGTAAATGTGTCTATGAAAATGTGTAACTAAAATGTCACCAGCTGTTCTTTAGCTTTACTTATTAATGACTATCAGATCTCTTCGGTATTTACATGAAAAAAAAATGATGAAATTACATTAAGTATAAATATTTGTATAACTCCCTTCTGGTAAGAATACATATACATATAATAGAAATTGTGAATAAAAATTTAAGTTTCTTTCCCAATGTAATACACAAAAGATGCCAATTTATATCATACATGTATACTACATGTTATACTATTGCTATTACTGCAGTCTTCTGTTATACATATTTCTGCTTCAAATAATCTGAACCTAAATTCTGAAAGAATATGGCTACATTTATTTCGCAGCAGTATTCCAAAGAAAATGATACCGTACACTGTCCAAAGCATACGTTTCACTTTAAAGTGCATTAGGCTGTAAAGTTATAAATAACTTGCACCCCCATAAACGACACATAATTTACCAACATTACAGAATCCGCTTTTGAAAGATCTTCGAAGAACCAACGAACGTTAATATTAACTGTAACACGATTTATTTAAAAGAAAAAGAAAAAGAAAAAAGAAAAAGAAAATAGTAAAATCCAAATCTGCCACTCGCACAAGCTTTCAATGCAAACAATGTTTCAAACGACTGTTTGGAAAGGATCATAATTCTACAACGATCTGACACACTCGACGACGGCACGCTGTAAATCATCCATTTAACAGTGTAAACGGTTTTAAAACACAACAAGCTCGTGTCACTTTCTTTCCGCCTCCGTACATTAGGCACACGCTCGCCGGAAGAACAAAAAGGCTAAAACGGTTGACTGTCCGGTAAATAGTCGGCAGTTACGCCCGTTCGTAATAACCACTCACTACACTCGGAACAACTCAAACGAAACTGCACTGGAATACGGGACCGTAACGGAATCATTTTGAACGGCACAACCATTCGAATTGACAATTTCAAATTTGGCGGCCGGCCACGATTCCAGGAATTGTTCTGACCGCGCGAGTCAAAAATGATCGACACTGCGTTAAACAATTTCGAAACGTCCGCGCGTCTCTCGGTTAACCCCTTGCCGTATTTTGACGAGTCCGACTCGTCGTGAAAATTTCTGATAATAATTAATTGGGTACAGATGTGTTATTCTGTTCTTTGAAATTGGAATAAAATTCTGATCTCTTGTCATCGATATTTAAGCATCCGAGTAAATTTAGGCACACGATAAGCATCGATTTTCTTCCCCTTCTAAGAAATTATTGCAATCGAAAAATGTCTAATTACAGTAACTGCGAAGAAGACGGTATGTCAAGGGGTTAAATTCGACGATAAAAATACCTCGTTGCGCGATGAAGATAATAATAATAATAGTTCACCGTTCGAGAAAGGTAATCGACTCTGTATAAAATTCATGGTAAAACCGAAAATCCAGAGCAACATCTGTACAATGTATAACCATAGCCAAACCCGTCGCACAGTGTGATGTTTCAACAACGTAGGTTTCAACTGCGAAATCGAATGTTTCTGAAAAAATGTCGAAGTCGGTCTTAAGTCAAAAGCGATGTCTCAGAGGTTCGGATAAATAATAATATTTAATATTACACTGCAAATATAACCTTATCCTGCTGACACTGTTTCACAGCGAGAATTACGTTTGCTGAATTACCGGAAATTTTCAGAAAAAGTTTCCGTCTATTTACGAATTTGGAAGCTCTACTATTTTTTATGTCACCTTAGATTATGGTTACCAATAACGCGTGTTCATTGTTCGCGCGTTAACCTAACATTGATCTCGGCAGTCTTTTCGTGTTTGCGTTCGCAAACGTAAACACAACACGTATGTACATACATATAAAATAATATATAACAGTAATATACGTTTCAGTGAAAATTATTAGATCGCGTTAGAAATGATCGAATAGATAACGTAATCCCTATCACAAGAATAGTCATTGCAAATATAGGGTGGTCTTCCTAGGGTCTAGATTTCTAGATCATCGAAACATCACGCCGCGCGTCGGCAACGATCCGTAGACAGAAAATCTGTCCGCACTCATACAACGAAGAACAAAAGCCGGGCCGAAAACCGTCGGATTCACAGAGCCGTGGATCGTCTATCATCAACAACAACGTCAACACAGTATCACTTCTACGTAAACGCCGTTCGCCGGCGCGCACCAGGTGTCACAACTTTGTAACGCTCGGCGTTCACTGGCCGGCCCGAGAATTCCGAAGTAACTAAACAGCCGTTCCGCGGAACTTCTGGACACGGTTACCGCACTGGTGTACATATTTACAGTCGCCGGCGAACGCTCGTAAAGCGTAAGCTAACCTGTAAATCGATCCGAGTCGAAAAGTGCGCGCACACACACATACACACATACCACACACTTACGAGACAAACTGCGGGCGCGTGAAATCGTTCGGGCTCGGGTCGCTCGGAAAACAAAGCACTCGCCACTAACGAAAACAAAGAACGATCGACGATTCGACGAAACAAGCGAGCAGCGAAAGCGCGACGCTGACGGCGCGGCGGCTCGCGATAGAATGCCGTTGGATCGGCGGCTCGGGTTCGCTCGGCGGCACGGTGGTGCGCGATGGTCGCCGATTGGCCGAGCGCTCCCTACCGCGGCGGCGCGAGGACCGGAGGGCCAATGGGAGGGTTCGGTGCCTCTCCAGCGCGCTGGACCGCGTGTGCACCCACGCAGGGTGGCTCGTGGCTCGTGGCTCGTGGCTCGAAGCTCGCGGCAGTCACTCAGTCAGTCAGTCAGTCACTCGGTAGGCCCGCGGTGCGCTATGAGGTGGGATCTGTGAACGAGCCACGCGGTGCTTGTTTTTTTTTTATAATTTACCTGCACACACCCCGGCAAGGTGCGGGCCTAATCGCGACGTTTATCCAAGCCCCCGAGCAGCTCCCGTTCTTCCTCTGATATGCGTACCCGCGCGACCCGACCGGTCGAGCGTCCACGCCGGTGCACACGGTCCACAGTCGGTTAGGGCCTCGGATCACCCGGAAGAGATCGGTTTATCGTTAAGTCCCCCCCACCCCCTCCCCCGAGAGTCGAATGTTCCCGTGAGTTTCTGTTTCCGGGATAACGTGACCGGCGTTGTTGTTGGTTTTGGTTTTGGTTTTGGTTGTTTGGTGGTGTTGTCGGGTGGTCTGTGTTTTGTTCGGTGCCGAGTGTGTGCACGCGACGACGCGCTGCCCCCGTCAAAGTGCGTGCTGCCAAGGTGACCGTGATACCGCGCAAGACAATGTGCGTGACAGCCACGCCGCTCAGCGCGACCAAAATACTCAAGGATAGTGCGAGACACCCGGCAAGGACTAGCATCGCGAGCAACGTACAGGTGCAAGGATTCGCGCCGGCAGCGAACAATGCCGCCGACGACCGGCCACAGCACACGTCGATCATGTAAATATCTTGTTTTCAAGTTCTGCCATTCTTAGGTCTTGTCGCTTCTCCCGAGATCCCGGCCGATCCTTCGACCGGCTTCGAACGCCGGCGAGGATGCGACGCGAAATTGATCGGTCGGCGAGAGGGTTGGTTTCGCGGGGAGCTTTCTATTAGCGAGGGTACACTGTTTATTTGTACCTTCAATGGGCGACCATGGGTAAGGAATGATTGTTTAGACGCTGTACCACATCGTGCTGTGGGACTTCGTCGAGCGTTCTGCACTTGCCGCTTGTGGGAACGATTCTGTCAATATTTAGGCGGAGTCGATTACTGTCAGATAAAGTAGGTTTCGAAGAGGACTGGATTGAGAGCCGGTATCACAGTTTGATGTGACGACAATGTGTGGATATTTTGGTATGGTTTAGTAGAAATTGTTTTGTAGATATTTTCCCTGATTTTCTTTATTTACGTTCTTTGAGGATGGAGATTGTGGAACAAGTCGTGGAGAGGATGTGCTCTGAGGTCTTATAACAGAGACTGAGTTTATAGTGGTACATATTATGATACGAGCCGTTATGCTGCAAAATAGAACGATGCTTTAAACAGCTGTTTCACTTGTCTGTCTCATTGTAAACAATTACGTCCACCTATATCATAAAATCTCTTGTCCCAGCAATAAATGAGCCGTTTATTTTGGAAGTGGCATAACTCACTTTACCGTAATGAAAAGTGGTGATTTTTTTAATGTTTATACGAAATTATTTATACTGAGAAAAATATCAGTATCCTGAGATGACAAATACAAGTAAATCTTCTCGAAAGTTAGCATCCATATTTTTAAACGTGTTAAGACGCAAACCCTTAAATATATCGACTTAAAAACAAAGTGACCGACTTAAAAACAAAGTGACTTTATGCCACTTTCAAAATAAACGGCTCATATCTGGTTGCCATATTGATTCTATTATTGTCAAAAATTGTAGCAACTTCTAAAGAGGAAACTTTTAAGACTTAGAACAGCATCAAAGTTTGACACACAAATAACAATGAGTGATTACTTTTGACGTGATTAGTAGAAATTGTTTTATACATGTTTTGTAAGATTTTCTATATTTAAGTTCTTTAAAAAGGAATATAATAAGGTAAGTCCTGAAGTGGATATGCTGAGGTCTTATAACAGAGACTAAGTTTAGCGGTACATATTATGGTACAGGGTGTGTTTTCATATTGATTCTGTTATTATCAAATAATGTAGCAAGTTCTGAAGCAGGATAAGCTTAAAACTTAGAACAGTTTCAAAGTTTCATACTAGTGATGACAATGGGCGTCTATTTTGGTATGATCAATACAAGTTATTTCATAAATATTTTACAAGATTTTCTTTAGCTATATTCTTTAAAAAATACTTCTGATTGTTTTAGAACAGTTTCACACAATAGTATCTATTATAATATGTATAAATGTTTCCTGTGTTTATGATTCATAGTATATGCATTTTGTATAATCGATATGAATATACAAAATTGATACATGTCTTATTATACTTTCTCTGTTTGAATTTTTAGAAAATGATTACACCGCTGTGAGTTTTGAGATGGAACATATCAAAAGTTAAGACAATGTCAAAGTTTCACATTACCAGAGCAAGTAACTACCTATTTTAGTATGTGATCCGTGTGTCCATCTTTGTTTCATAAGTATTTAGCCGAATTCTCTTTGTCAAAACTTCTCTATACCGAAATTTTCAAGTGTATCACATTTAGAACTTAGAATATTGTCAAAGTTTAGCCCTAATATGCTAAATAAGTGCTTCGGTTTTGGTATGATTAGTATGATCACATGCTCCGTCAGGTTTTCATCCCAAAAAGTAATTCTAATACAACTAATATTGGGGTAGGTCTTAGCACGGTATAGAAAAATCAACATAATCATCGACCATAATCGATCATCATGAATCAACATAAATCAACATAAATCAACATGAATTCAGACCATACGTTTAAACAAAAATTCTCCGTTTTTGCAAATTTGAAATTTAGATACAATTGTTGATATTCCGTCTCCTTCGCCGTTCCTTAATAATACCGAACAACTGTATTACACATTTACTATTTGTGGCACTTCACCTTGTCCACATTTTCCATAAATGTCTTCGAACACGTAACTCTAGCTTCAGACGATATAATATGTCTCCGGCGATTAGCTTATCTAAAATATTAGCTGCAGCTAGCACCTCTTTGGCCTTCATGCCAGCTTGTCCATGTTTTCTATTTCCCATTCTTCCACCTGCAGACTGTAACACAAACATCGTATATCTCCGCAAACATTCCTTTCTTGTGTAATTCAGACCAGTTCCATATTTTACCCGAACTCCCGTAATTCAGAAAATATCGTTTCGTAGCACATGCTGCAGTAGCGCTATGAAGGTAATTCTTTCGGAACGGTGATTCTTTCTCTGTAAATGAGTAATAATTGATACTGTTCTGGGATTGTAAATAAAATTATGATGATGGAAAGATACATGCCAGAATAAAATACCTCGACCGCCAGCATAGTAATCGGTCTCTGGGACAAAGTAAGTTCTGCGTTGAAGTAGTTAAAAATAGTTACTTAACATACTTGAGTTAAAGATAATTATTATATATTTTGAATACAACACTAGTTATGAAATACCTTGTATTTAAAATTAGTTTTGAAAAACATTGGATTTCAGACTATTTATTAAATACTTTGTATCGCGGAGTATTAAATAAATACCTTAAATTAAAGAATATTTAATAAATACTTCAAATTAAAGAATATTTAATAAATACTTTGGATTGAAGACTAATAAATACTTTGAATATAGCAGACTATTTAATAAATACTTTGGATGCAGGACCATTTGATAAATATTTTGGATTTAAGACTGTTCAATAAATACTTTGTATTGCAGAGTATTTAATAAATAGTTTAAATTAAAGACTATTTGATAAATACTTCGGGTTGAAGACTACTCAATAAATACTTTGTATTAAAGACTATTTAATAAATTGGATCTGAAGACAATTTAATAAATATTTTGGTTCGAAGACAGTTTAATAAACACTTCAATTAAATAATGTACAAAATACTTAAGACTCGCGGCACTTTTTAAATATTTCAAACACAGCGCACCGTCTGTCTAAAATTTATTTTCAGTCACAAGAATGTAGACTCAACATAGTAAATATTCGCAGAAACAACAATTTCCCAAAGCATTAATCGAAAATTCAAACGAAAAGCATCCTTCGCTAAAATCCCTTAAATGGAAACCGAAAGTAAAAACGTCCTTTGTCAACGCAAACGATCATTGCATTTCGCAAATTTTGCATTGCGCGCAAATTGTCAAAATCCCGCGGTCCAATTGCTTTATTCCGAATGAAATCGCGCGTTGCCTTTGCACACGGAATTATCGTTCGGTCGACGACGAAAACAATATCCTTATTTATCGGTGGCCGCCGAAGGAAATGCGTTTTGAAAATTCGCCGCGCCGGCTGTGTACATGCGAGAGCGTGTGTGTGCGCGCGCGCGCTTTGTGTGTCGGCAGCATCGAAACCAGGTGTCGACGATGGAGCACGATTAATTGTATCAGCATCGCGCGGGAGTTAATTTGCCGAAAAACGCGACACCGGCTCTCGACATTACGAGTGCTGCTCCGCGGTCGCGTTAATTGCTCGAGTGTTTCACGGTAATTATTTTTTCGATAATTACCGGTGCCGGCGCCGAGCTCCGGCTACGCGCGGCAGAACTTTCATACCTAGAACGGTGCCCCGACATGATCGAACGCGACAATGATCCTCGATGATCCACGATGATCCTCTGGTAATGAGCTACGAAAGGGGAACGGCGCGAGACTCGTCGAAATTTCTTCATTTGCGACTTGATGAGAAACGAATCCCGGGAAAAAACGAAGGTTACAGGAAAGGACGTTCTTTTACATCGGTAATATCTTCTTGTTAGGCTTTTTGCGAATTTTCATACCGAGTTTTAATTGCGAACGTCTTATTCGCGTTGCAAAGTCGAACTTTCTTTTTATTTACCGTGCAAAATGATTAATATTTTAGTCACGCGATGTTGTATGTTCTAAAAATGGAACTGTTATTTTTCGAGGATGCAGAGATTGTAGATCTTTTTATTAGATACCTCTCGTATCTAAGTTTTGCAAAATTAGTAATTTCCACGGTTTAATAATCATCACGTGGGGAATGCAATGAATATCGATGAAAATGTTACTCGATATTCAATGTCATTTCAGTTTTAACAACAACGCGATTTAATATACAATATTAGTTAGGTTCAATGTAAATTGAATAATATTTGCTTTATTCAATGTTCAATTTTAGTTTAGGTTCAACAAAAATTGGATAGTAATCGCATTATTCAATATTCAATATTAATCGAGGTTCAATGTAAATTGAATAATGATTGCATTATTCAATATTCAATATGGTTGGAATATTCAATATTCAATCGAGGTTCAATCTAAATTGAATAATAGTGGCATCCCTCTACTTTAGTTTCAGTGACAATGTTACGAAACGATCATTATTCAGAATATGCCACGGAATATTCAATATTAACTCGACGGAATCTTCGAAATAACTTCTTGTACATTTTGCAATTAAAAAAAGAAATGAAATATATCTTTTCAAGCACCAAAATCGAACCAGCTGTTGTGAATTTTTAAATCGTCTGGCTTGTTATTTATAAAGCTAAGATCGTCCAGTTTGTTATTTATAAAGCTGAAATGGTCCAGCTTGTTATTTAGAAAGCTAAAATCGTCTATTTTGTTGTTTATACAGTCAAAATCGTCTACTTCGTTATTTATTTAGAATTCGTTGAATGATGATAGAAAGTTTTAGTTCGTTCGATTTATTAGTCATGCCTACGCACGCGGTGCTATTTTCGAAAACACGTCCCGAGAAAGAACGTGTTTGATGTTTCGCGTGCACTTCATACTTACCGTGCAATGCTTCTTTCACGTACTCACGTGAAAT